TATTTTGATGGAATGGCCGATATCCGATATTTAACTTTATCGCTAATATTGGTCAATACCAATACCATGCTGATAAAATCGTGCATTTCTAGTTATATTTATACAAATACCTCTTTCAATAAAGTAATTCCCAAAACATAATTTCATTTTAATGATTTTCTCAGACTACTAGCCAATGATTAAACCATAGTCTACAAAAATATGAATTGCAGTCCAGTTTATGACCCCCCAATACTGTTCGATCCTTTTATAAATAGTAAAAAAATACAACCAAAGCTTTTAAAAGTATTCTTCCCATTATATTCTTTATTAGTCAAAAATAAAGCGCACAAACAGTTGAGAACACTAGTTTAATTAGGTAAAGTAATGCATGAATTAAATTTTGGTTATGAACTCGTTTGAATAGCAGTTCAGTTGAAATAAATACTTGTCAGTGTCTGCCTGTCGTCCATAAGTTTATTATTGGTTAGTTCAACTTCACAGCTTTTGCCGTTTAATTTATCTCAAAACATATATTTTTAAGAAGATTTTTTTATTTCATGTTACCAGAAAGTATGAAAACTATGCACACTTGTTTTACTGAGTCTTTATAATCATTTTTATTTGCTCAAGTTGCACTATGTGATGTTTTTTAATCATACTTAATATGCATGCATGCCCAAAAACATGCTGTCAGGCTGCCTTCAGGCCCAGGCCTCCCTTGCAAAAGAGATCTGTGATCTCATTAGGATTTGCCTGGATAAATAAAGGTTAACTAAATAAAATAAATAATAAAATATATGTTTACCAACTAATTCCTGCAGCAGAACTTCAGTTACTAAATGAGACAGTTAAATCAGTAAAGTTAGATAAAATAATAGAACCATGACATATTGATATATTATTTTTCTTCACTTTCCTTGGCAATGTTCTGTTAATGTACATTAAAATTTGGGGTTTTTAAATGGGAAATTCTGATGCTTAAAAGTTTAAACTTTGACCCTAAATGTAATCAGTGTTGGTAAAAAAAAATTAATAAATAAATCATACAGAAAACATCAGAGTCTGTCCTAGTTCACAAAAGAAGCACAGCCATCATCAGAAGCCCCCCCCCCCACCCCCCGTCTCCAACCATCATCACAATCAAGTGACCTGGCAGCGTTCAGGTAGCCATGGCGACCGCACCACCCGTTTGCTCTTACCCTTTGTATCCTGGCAACAGCAGGATGTATTGTGTATTTTTCTCTGTTTTGAAGCAGCCACGTTATCCAGGGAGGTACTCGGTCACACACACAAAAAAACGTGCTTTCAGAGCCATAATTATGTTTTCAATCACTTTTTACTGTAACAGTCCTGCTGGCAGATTAGTCGTATGTTAGCTACGCTGGTTCACACACAGCTGGGGGATTAGCTAGGTCTTTGTGCCCCATGCAAACTGTACGCAGTGAACAGACTGCAGACAGAACATGACTGTGTCTGTCACATTAATAAACACTTTACTAACAAAGTTTATCAGTAAATGAAATCCAGCGAGATTCAATGACTTATTGTTTCCTACAAGCAAGATAATCAATAAGAAGGCCGATATGAACACTAAACATCTGTGATGGCAATATTTACCATTTCTAATATTTGACATAGTCATATGATAATAATAACATAAAGTTCCTTTTTGTCTCCTTCTTAAGGAAATCCCCGGTACCATTCAGCCCATACCGCAGAACATCCTTCATCTCAGACTCCCACACATCCTTGATGGTGGCCCACAAGGGACCGTTCCTGTGCTCGCTCACAAGCAACTCAAACACAACACTGACGTAGCTGCACTGCAGTAACGTTTTGAAATTAAAAAAAGCTCTAAAAGACTAACGCATATGACATCAAACTAATAAAACCCTTAATTAAATGTTGTGATAATTTTAAATTTACCTGTGTATATGCTGGCAGTGGAGGCAGGGATGCCGAACTGAGACTCGATGAACTTGGGGATGAAGGTGATGAAGGCTGTGACGATGGCACACTCAGCTGTGTAGGACAAGCTGACAAACAGGAACGTCATGTTGCTGAGGATTCTCAGTGCAGCCTTGGGAAGGTCTGTGGGGAACAAGAGAAAACACCTTATTATATTATATATGGTCACTGTTTCATTAAACCCAGCCAGCCAGCTTATAATCTACACAAACACTTTAAAAACACTAAAACATATTATATTTATTCATCTAACCAACAACAACAATAAAAAAAAAAAAAAAACAAGAAACCTGAAAAGAAAAAGACGCATTTCCGACCTAAACAAAACTTCTATAATAATCCAATGAGTAAAAATAAAATACAGTATATAGCTTTAAAAAAAGAAAATAAAAATATTTCACATTCAAGCGATGCACTCAACCACGTCTCAGTCTGAGTAGGCACGTTTGTATTGTGCAAAAATTCACAATAAGTCTTGAACACACAAATGCTACGTGATGTTTACTTCAAATAATAGAAGATGCAAAAACAGTCTTTAATTTCCAGTCTCTGCTGAAACTCCCCCACAAACATTGGTTGCCTTTAGCTTTAGTCGAACTACACAAGGACATGTGTGTCCTTCATGCGTGCTTGGGGGTTGTGTCCATGTGCTGTGGACACACCGCTGCAGAATGCCCTTAATATTTGGTCACTAAAAAGTCTTCTGGTTGAACTGTACATTTCTGCTGCTGGGCAGAATAAACCAGCTTCAGCTTCTGCAATGACTAAACATTTATAGGGGTTTTGTTTTGCTTTTAGAAATGAAGACTCTAAGAGCCTGAGGAAAACAAACGATTATTACCAATTGATTGATTATTTTCCAAATCTATTTAACAACTAATGTTAGCTTATAACAATAAAACCCTTCATGTACAATTTCCTAAAGGAACTATGAATTATTGAGCAATAATATCTATTTTCCATGTTTAATGTGTGTCCAAGAATTGTCTAGGAAAACGTATGTCATCAAGAGCAATGGCAAATATATTAAAGATGTTCTGATGCATGCTAAATAATCCAGGTGGAAGATGTCCACGAGAAGATGTAAAAGATGGCCAGTTGGATTTCTTTAACTGCGAGGTCTGAGTTTCTGATGGAGAACATTTGGAAACTAAAGTGTATTGCAAACCCACTCACAGAGACCAGTATTTGCAGTTTGACTCCCATCACCCTCTGGAGCATGAGTCAGAGTCATCAGGACTCTGTACCTGGGCCCAAAACCTGGCCCGGTCCAAATTCGTGCTGGGCCAGGCCATGATAATGTGCTGGATGGGCGGGCCAGGTCGGTATTGGGCTTTTGATTGTGTCAGCAGACGCGCGCGGCTGGCAAACCAATGTAATGGCAATATGGCTTGTCATATAATTCAACTATATGGCAAAATGGTTTGTCATACAATCACCAGCCGCACACGGCCATTTGACCGTGAACTGACTGGCCTTGAAAGAGGTAAAATAAAGTTCAGTTAAGCTTTAGATGGGACTATACTATATATACTATACTATAGGAAACGATCCATCACCCAAATGGACGCACTCAGCGGACGCACACGGCCAACGACCCAAACAGGTGAGATCCCAAAATATCCGACATGTCAGAGCAGGGTCCGTGTCTGAATAATGCAGAATGCAGGCCGAAGCAGGGATTTAATGCGCTTTGACGAACATGAAAGGACAAACACCCCCTCAGCTCTGAACTTCTGCCCCTTTTATTCAGCTGCGCGCATCCGCCAACCGCTAATAACTATATAAGCAGTCAAAGCTTAACTAAAAATGTCTACGTTTTTTCGGGTTCAGACCTGCAATTACTGTTAATTCGTCAGGTTGGGTGGGGTTCGGAAATTATGTCTACAGGCTGGGGCTGGGTCAGGTCTGATTTTTCTGGGCCCGAATGCAACTCTACTCTGTACCACGGAGCAGACAGCGTCCCCACTAACTCAGGAGCCAGGCAGAAGGAGAAATCCCACACAAGACAGGTTCTGGAGCAATGTGGATATCCTAACTGGGCCTTCCTGAAAGCAGAGACCCAAACCCCAAACAGGACTCCAGCCAGCCATCAGGTGAAAAGGAGGAACCCAGACCAGTGGTCATTCCATATGTTGCAGGAGTTTCAGAGAAACTGAGACATTTATTTTCTAAACATAACGTCCCAGTGGCTTTTAAACCCCAAAATACATTATGGCAAAAAATGGTCCATAGATCCAGTCCCCCGGCACAAACATAGTAATATTGTGTATGCTGTTCAGTGTCAGGAGGGCTGTGATCAGTCTTACATCGGGGAAACTAAACATCCACTGGCCAAAAGGATGGACCAGCACAGAAGATCAATATTATCAGGCCAGGACTCTGTGGTCCACACTCATCTGTATCCTTGATAGAGAGGAATGTTGGTTTGAGGGAAGAGTGAAGGAAGCCATCTTTGTGAACTCGCCCATTATTAAACGAGGCAGGGACTTCCATGTCCAACTGTCCCCCTCTTACAATGCTGTTGTTGCTAGTATCACTCAGCCCTCTGTGACTAGCAAGCAGCCATCAGGGCACTAACAATTAATTGTTATCTTTGCATGTGAACAACTAGTTTTGGCTGTCGCCAGCAAACTGGTTGATCCACTCAGAAAAGGTGCTGCTTATGACTGTGTTTATTGCAGCTCCTCAGACTGAAGAAGTCTTTTGGATAAAAGACAAAATGTTTGAACAAAGAAGAATCCATACAGAGGACCTGACTCAACCTTGTTAGAGTTCTAGTAAATGTGCTTTTCTCCTTTTTATCTGCACTGGAGCATGCAAGGCTGCATAATTCTGTCAACACTAATACAAAAAAAAATCTTGATTCTACATTGATAGTAACATTTTATAAATTCTAAGTGCCACGTGAACCTATTCTTAAGTTTTCGACATATTAGATTGTAAAATAAGAAAATGTGAAGTAATTCTTTTTTTTTTTAAGTGAAGGTTTTTATTTTGGTGTTTGATTCAAGCATTCACTGCTTTTTAATTGAAGCCATCAGTGAAATGTTCCCTGGGTCACTGGCTGCAAAACAATCAATGCACTTCAACCCAAAGTTTTTATTAAAACCTAAGTCCACAGGACTTGTAAAAATAAATCAAACTTCATCCTGAAAGTCTTGTAATAAAACACAGGCTTATTTTTCTTGCTAGTAATGCTGATTTATTTGGTCTTAACCATTATTTCTTTATGCATTTATAAAGAAAAAGCAGCCATGGTTGTCTGCTACAAGATCACAACCTTCAGCTAATATCAGACTGCAGCTCCTTTCTTGTAAAACTCTAAAGAAGTAGCACATTATGCTTAAAACTGAGAAAAGTGACGTCAACATAGTTGAGCTTTGAGGTCAGCTAATATTCTACTGATGAAATCATTTCACATTATGAGACACGGTCAACACAAAAGGTCATAGGTTTGCCTTTAAATTTCCCTGCCTAGGAAATAAAGTCAGTGACGCGTACGAACTCTTCCACGGTGACAGGTTTATGATTTCATGCATCATTTGACAGAAAGAGGTTCTTTACAGTCCACAATGTGTCTCACATTCAAGCTAAATTTCTCCTGTAGTTCAGCACGAGTCGTCGTAGAGTACACACAGCAAACAATCAGCTTATGCTACTATTACAAGTCCAGTAGGTTCAACTATTTACCATTATTAGAACCTTTATTATAGAGATGTCAGAGCTGAAGTGATTCATGTCTGTCATTTAATAATAAAAGTAATACTTAAAACAAATTTGAACTTGTGATCTGAGAGAAGTCTCACCAAAAGTGAGAGAAAACATTATAGCTTTGCAGTCATGAAACAATGACAAACAAAGTGGCTTTTTATTACCTTTCATTATAGATATTATTAAGAAGCTGAGCAGTCTGCGTGCATAACATCACTGCTTTGATTAGGGAACGGGCCTCCCTGCACTAATACAACTATCTTATCTGCACTAATTTAACTATCTTATTTGTTTGGAGACATCAAAAGCATCTGTCAACATGATTCTTGTTCAAAATGGGAATAAAACACAGGAAATAATTGTTTCATTCCTGGAAGTCCTGGTGTAATCTTGTCCGAACAGATGGTCAAATCCTGCTGACATCTACAGCAGCTGCTTTCTCATTCAGGCAAATCTCAGACCCATAAAAGTCTCCAAACTTTATTTTTTGTTAGAAATTGATTCATGACTCAAAGGGCTTGATCCACCAGGTTTTCCAATTATGAATTTTTTGCTGTACTGCGCAAGAATTATTAAAATCAGCATGTTTAAGAATGTTATTATTTTCTGTAAATTCAGCAAGGCTATAAATTAACAGTAACTTCGCAAGAAGTTGATCCACATGAAGACTTTTAAGATAAAACCTACAATCACTCTTATCACAATATTGTACAGCAATCTTTGACTTCTTATTGATATAATGCACACCTTTACACCTGCATAAAGTACAGCTACTAAAACAAAGACTTGTGCCTAAATCATCAAACTGAGAGCTTAAGACGGATGCCTCTGCTCTCCCTCCCCGTTCTCCTCTTCCTCCTGCTTTTGCTCTCTGTGTGTCTTGGAGCTCCTGGTGCACATCTCCCAAAAGAAACAATACTATTATGGATCTGGTGAGCTGGACTTTCAACGCAATTGACAAAATCTTTTCAACAAAACGACAGGGTCCTGGAAAACTCTCTTGTCCGGCTGAGACTCACGCTGCGGGGTACATCAGAGATCCGTGGGGAGTTTGGCAGCTGATGTGTCTGTCAGTTCTGTCTCAGGAGGACGCCAAAGACATTTATAGAATTGGATTTATGATAGCATGGTTTCTGCTCTTTGGCATTGGCAAGGCTCTGTTTTATCAACCTTTGAAAAAGACTTCAGCAGCAGTTTTGGGCATGACAAAGCTTCAATATGAAGGTCTGGTGTGTGCTATGAGGACTCAAAATCAGCTGATTTACGAGCTAAACCATAAAATGGAGGCAATTTGTGAGAATCACAGGCCACCTGCGGCGTCTAGGACTCGCCAGCATGTTGGGATCGACCTTAAAGAAGGCTCATAACACAGATCAGTGGTGTGGAATACCCATATATCTGGCCATTTTGGATCGGGAAAGTTCCAGCAGGACTCAAGGCTGACAAGAAAAAACAGTGTCTGAAGAAAATCAACAATTGTGGCTTATCTGAATCCGACTCCCCCGTTTGGCCTTGGATACGAGCCAACTATCAAATTTTTCCTGGGACATGGATAACTAGGGAAAAAGCTTTGTCTATTGCAACACCCCGAGAACTTCTGTGCAGGCTTATCAGAACTGCCGGTTGAACAACATCAGGACTGTGGCCTATCTGGAAGTGCTTCATGGACAAATCTCAACATCTTGATGTCAAATGCATATGTAATGTGTTTATAAATGTGCTTTCTGGTAGAGTTTTTTGATGTCTCAAATTGTGTCCAGATAGAACAAGGTGTGAAGAGATCTTTTTTTGTAATACCACTATCCACCCTCATGGCCTTTTCCCCTTTTCTATCTATAAGTATTCTGTTAAAGAACAAGGGGCTGTGCTATTATAGCAGCAGCAACGTGCACTCTGCCCATCTTTCGGACGACTGTACAAACATAATTTCACTGTATCCCAGTACAATGATAATAAAGTTTATTTTGAATCCAATTATGCCAAGATGTACCTGCACCCTAGATTCTGCAAGTACCCTGCAGAAGAGTGCGCCAAGCATACAGATCTTATACAGCAAGTATGGTGACAAAAAGAAAATCAGATGTTGCTGTCTCACAACATTATAAAAACGATATCTAATGAAATGTGTAAAAAATAAACAAAACAACTTCAATAAATATGTGAGTGAGTTTGATGTTACAGAGTGAGGAATTTAGAAATGTGTGAAAGAGCAGGCTAAAAAGGGTTGAGAAGCTGGGAGGGTGCAGTAAGTGTATTTTTAGAGGGTTGGGACACCCTTGGTGTTGTGGATTGTTCTCTATACCTGAGGCTACGATCTCTAGAAAAGGCTCAATATCTGAGCTTTTTCCTTTTCCTTTTGGAAATGCCACATAACTTGCTTTCTCAGCACAAATAAAAAGGGCACAGAAAGACGGACCAAAACAAAACAAGCAGATGAAACACACTTACCTCTTTTCACCCTTTTCAAGACATAACAATCTAAGGCAACCTGATATTCAACCTTTATTTATACAGATATGAATATAAACACTAAACAGTGTTAATCTCTAGTCTGATATTTATTTATCCATTTGTTTAATCTCAAACTGATAGTCAAGTCAAAATCAAACTGATACTGAATGACAGCTAAATTAAAGCAAAGTTGTTTTGAAATAAAACGTGTCAGCAGTTTTCCCTTCCATTAAAAGGCACCAAGGCACCCCTACTGAATAAAGTCTTCCTGTTAGTGATCTACAGTTGATCATGAAGCACAAAGATTCATTACAGAGTGCAAACCTCTCACTCACAGCTGTGCTTTGTACTGTCAGGTTAACTGGCCATCAGTGTCCACACAGATTTTTCAGTATTGGTATAATTTCATTTACAAAACCATCCTTGGCTTTCTGCCAACATATTTATCCTCCAGTATGTCACATAAGTCCTTCATTACCATAGCCATCCCCTCAGTTTGTGCAGAGTCAGAAAAGACTATTTCCAATTCTGCTCTTTGTCTTAGAACAAATTAAACATAACCTGAACTTCCCAGCTTGAGTCCACTGAAGAGTTTTTAGTTTAGTTTGAGAAAAACGCTAATTGGAAACATCAAAGTCCATGCTCAATAATCCAGGTAAAAAAATCCAACAAATTTCAGTCAGATCATCTGGACAGTTCCTTTTTATTTTTTTATTTTGTTGAGACTTTTCGTCCTTCGTCAGTCCGAGGAGCCACAAACAAACTCAGTCCCACAAGCAGCACACTCCTATAGTGGACCAGCCAGTTTTCTGGTGATAAAAAGATCTCTGTGGCCCGCCCTCTCCCCCACTGATTCCTTGGAGGCAGCCATAGACATAGTGGTTCAAAACTTTGAACCACTGGGAGAGAGTGGGCCCCAGAAACCATCTTATCACTAGCAAACTGGTTGGGCCACTATGGGAGTGTGCTGCTTGTGGGACTGAGTTTGTTTGTGGCTCCTCGGATTCATGAAGTCCTTTGGATGAAGGACGAAACGTCTCAACAACAACAAAAAAAAAAAAACACCCAGATGACTTGACTAATGGCAGCACGGTGGCACAATTGGTAGAGCTGCTGCCTCTCAGCGAGCAGGTCCCTGGTTCAAATCCCTGTCCGGGGGCCTTTCTGGGTGGAGTTTGCATGTTCTCTCCATACATGTGTGGGTTTTCTCCAGGTGCTCCGGTTTCCTCCCACAGACCAAAAACATGCATGTTAGGCTGATTGGTAACTCTAAATTGTCCCTAGGTGTGAGTGAGAGAACGGATGGATGTTTGTCTCATTTGTCTCTATGTGTCCCTGTGATGGACTTGCGACCTGTCCAGGGTGTACCCCGCCCCTCGTACAGTGATTGCTGGACATTGGCACCGACGAACCCCGTGAACCAAAATGGAAGAAGCGAGTAAAAGATAATGGATGGATGGACCTGACTGAACTTTGTTGGATTTTTTTACATGGATTATTGAGCATGGACTTTGATATTTTGAACCACTTTGACTATCCTGCTTTTATTTGATTTTGTATGTTTGAAACAGTCTCACTTGTGTCTCCATAAAGTACGAACAAAGGTAAAATATTCAATTAAAAATTAAATATGATAACCTTGACAACTGGTTATTTATCATAGATCCAAAAGCTAAAGAAAACCTTAACTTTAGGATCTATGATAAATAGATGAAATTAATTAAATGAATGAAATACGTTCACCTGCAAGATAAACACAAACTTTAGTTGTGTGTTCAGAACCAGAAAAGCTTGAACATGACAACTCGTATGGAAGTCTAGAGTCAAATAGTAGATGCTCAATCGAGCGTAGTAATATACCAGCTGAAAAGACTGCCTCTGCATTCCTAATCCTGTGAGGTAATTAATCACTTACGGGGATGTGGTTATGATGCACTGTGTCAGCAATCATTTTCCCATGCCTTTGAACCTTTCAAGGAAAACTGCTTTCTCACAGCTGCAGACCAAAGGTCTGGAACATTCCACAATCAAATGTGTGTCCCTCTGACGTGCAGTACTGAAAACGTTTGGTGTTAGCATTTTTCAGTGTGCGCTTGTGATAGGAAAAGCCAAAAAAAATAAAAATAAATACATTGTGAAAGCAGCTACTTTTCAGCAGCGTATCTTTCACAGAAAATGCTGAATTTGTGCAACAGACAAACAAGCACACCTCAACAAAAGGACATGTTCTGTACTGAAATACATTCAGGATCCGTGCATTGAAGAGGCCGAGTCTGCAAAATTGGCCGTAGTTTCCACAGCAGCCTAAAACATCCTGCTGAGACAAATAAAACAACAGCTGAGCGAGCAGCGATCTGACGAAGCTGTAATGCATTCACACCATGTGCATCTCCAAGACAAAGCCCTGTTTTGACTGCCCCGGTTGTGCGCATAAGCATTCATTTGAGTGTGTGGAGCCACACTAAATGCACGTTTGAATTTGCACGGAATGAAGTGTGCGATGGGAAAACAAGAAAGCTGCTGTTTAGCTGTGCTATGCAGTCCATCTACTCCTGTGCGTGGAAATGTGACTGAGGTCCCCAGAGAGCTAATTTAAAAGAGAACGATGAGCAAAAGCGAGACGAGAGAAAACTGGGAAATACCAAAGCAGGAGAGAGCTCATCAGGGGAAAACCAGGAGATTCCTGGAATATCATACTCGGATAAGACATAAAAATGTTCTAGCAGCAATGCAAAAATGTGTCTTTTTAATATAAATTTACTCACACCAATACACGTCATTTGTGTTTATACACTCATCCATCATCAATTGTGTCTTTACAGGAGATCTGTAAAGATTCTGTTCCTGGATGAGGTGGCTAATCCCCAATATTAAGTGGATTATACCCTGTTAGTACATCAATGGCTCACATTTGCTTTATGCAAGACACTTATTTCTAGGGATGCACGATATTATTGGCATGGTATCTGTATCGGACGATATTGGCGTTAAAGTTCAATACCAGACATCGGCCATTCCATTAAAATAACACCGATATAAAAGGCGCCGTTTTTGTATGGGATGCCTGCAGCGGCTGCGCAACGTGATGACGTCATGCACGCCTACCTGATCTGATCAGAGCGGAGAGGAAGAAGTCAAAATGTCGGCAGTGTGGAAGTTTGTTTTTGTTCGTGAGGATATCGGATTACAAAGATTTATGGACTACGTTGAGCCTCGCTACATCGTCCCCAGTCGAAGATATATTTTCAACGTAGCCTTACTCGAGCTACAAGCCGTCATTTCCGACGTCATTGAGAAGCTAATAACCGATAGCACTTGGGTGAATTCTACCAGACATTGGACGTCGTGTTAGCCCCGTTAGCATGATTAGTCTTACGGCACAATGAATGGACAAAAACTTTGAACTTAAAAAGGCTGTTCTTCATGCACAAGAGTGCAGAGGATCCCACATTGCAGCTAGAAACCCAGAATAAGCCTCCACAAGTGAGAGAGCATCGCAGGGGACTAATGCTAATAAATAATATTTAACACTTTTCATTTAATATAAGTTAAAGTGCTATGCATATGTCTGTTACTGAATAAATGTCACCAGCTCTTACAGCTGTTACACAATTTTTGTAGCAAATAAGCCTAAATAAGAGGGCTATGTTCTGACAAATTAAATTAAATAAAATATCGGTATCAGTTATCGGCCAAATAAGTTTTAACATATCGGCATATCGGATATCGGCCAAAAATCCAATATCGTGCATCCCTAGTTATTTCACATCAGAATCCAGAAGTGAAATCATTCTTTTCTCACCTTTGATATCCTTCCCAAAACCCATGGAGGAGGACACACTTTGGCCTTTGCTACTCGACTTTTCCTTCATCGCATCATCATCGCTGGACACATCGCCCGGTGAGCCCATCTTTTTCTTCCTTTTCCTCTTCTTGTGTCGCGGGGGCAGCTTTTTGGGGAAGGCAAACATGGGGAAAATAACCAAAAGCATGGCGATGGCACACAGCAGGAAGCCACTCCACCTAAAAGAAGAAAATTAAACAAAACCAGAATTGAGTTGTAAGGAAATGATCAAAACAGGGAGCGGACATATGGAAACAGGGGGTATTCAGGTGTGCGTGCATAATTACCAGTTGCCAACGAAACGAGGGTCATTCTGGTCGATGTTCACAACAGTTTTGGGGTCAACGTAGAACCCAATAAGCACACCTCCCAGCAGGTAGCCAGCAGCAGGTCCCAAGGCTCCCATTACATACATAATGGCTAAAAGAAACAAACAAAAATCAATCAGAAACATTCATATAAACTTTTCAAACTGCCAGTACTTTATATATTAGCCGATATTTTAAGGTTTTCGTGAATGTAAAGTTCTGATTATGTATATCCCATAAGGACTACTTTAGCACCTACAACTTTGTCCACTTTCCTTATTAGTGCTCTTATGACCCTCTGTTCCATGTGTATGTTTGCATCAGACCTTCGGGAGCTGTTCATTATCTCCGATTCCTCATTCCCCTTATTCAATGCATGTGTTCTGTGAGCAGTGGGAACTCTCCACCACCCCTGAGGTTATTCCTCACAGCTTTTGAAGTGTCTGGGATAATTGACCTGGAAGCTCGCAAGCTCTCACCTGAGCGTGTACCAGCAAAGCGCAATGCAATTCCAGGTGAAATATTAACCCTCTGGGGTCTCAAATCATCACCAAGGAGAGGCAAATGCACCATCACTGAGCCACAGGGAGACGGAAAACTCATTAAATTTAGATAACCTTAGTTGGACATGTGGAAAACTCTCGAGCGGACGTCCAGCAGGGAGGCCAGTCAAAGCCATTTACAAGTCGGAATCAGGGGCAAACTTTCTATAATTACAAAATGGAACATTCTTGAAATTTGGGAACGTGTGTGTGCTTTGTGCAAACTTGCAAAAGCAGTGGATTAGCACTTTCTGATTATTGCATGTTTGTGTGTACGCATATGCTTTAACATGTTTGTGAGTGTGAAATTCTCCCCCACACACAAACACTCGTTATATTTTCTCTTAGAAAACAGCAAGAAAACAAATGCTGCTGCTCTCACCTCCTACATTTACACACACCCCAACATGCTTCTGTAGCTCAATTTGTTTTGAAGGTTGTTTTCTTGCATGACGGCACTAAACCCCATCAGCAGCGTGTGTGTCAGCGTGCTGGTATTTGAGGTCTCTGTTTAGCTGCAGAGGCACAGGTGTATTGTTGTGTGTTCAAACCAGAACTCAAATGTCTAATCTCTCCTGAGACCAGAGGAACATATCTTCTGAGCCAGATTACATAAGAACTACATTCATACACACGTTTTGTTCCAGCCAGTAAGTTTACTTTAGCTTGAAATGGAAGCTCTCCTCTGTCAGACCGAATCTTATGATAAAACGATAGTTCAGACCTTTTATAGTAAGGTTCTGTGGAAATTAATATCTTACCCATTCTTGATTTTTTTTTAAAACAAACTCAGTTTAGAGAAACAGTTTAATTTGATTGGCTTGAGCTAACTCCGTCCCTAAAACAGTACATCAGTTCATGCAAATACCCAGAGTATTTTAAATGTCTTTACGAAGTCTCAGATGACCATAACCAGAGACTTTAATGGGTTTTCTGCAAGGGCAAATAGCGGCAGCAGTAGCTTACTGCAGCACTTCTGGTGCAGCTTGGAGCACATTTGACATGAACATAATATTTCTGCAGGAATAACAATGTAATTAGGCATCGATAGTACGCCTGTCACGATAACAAATTTTGTTGGACGATTAATTGTCTCAGATATTATTGCGATAAACGATAATACTGTTTGAAATTTGACAATAATTAGTAATTATTGCCAAATTTAAGAAGAAATGTTTGTTAATTTGTTTTGTGTGTAGTACTTTTTTTGACCACCGGATGGCACTATAAGACTCTTTGAACCGAAAGATGGATAGTGAGGGAGCGAGCAGCGTGTCGCTAAGAAAAATGGGAGCGAGGCCCCTTGACGTGACGTGGGCTGTCTCTCCTTCCTTTCTTCGGTTCTCAAAATGGCAGACGCTCGGTGTGGTTTGAGCTCTTTAGCAGAGACTTTTTGAAATCTGGAGCTTCGACAAGATGGAGTGTTTTTACCCGAAGTCGGTTAGCTCATAGCTTAGCTTCTCAGCTTAGCTGCTTTTAACAATACAAAAACGCAATTTTGGATCGTTAAAATGGATTGTAAAGAGAAAAGAGAAAGGGAGGGGTCAGTGAAGAGCACTGGAGTTGAGTCTTTTGTCATCCAGTGTCTTCAGTGGAAAGAGAGAGAAGGGAAGAAACGATAAAGCCGATAAATGACAATGAGGTCAAAAATTTTCATTTACCATGTTATTAATTGATTTGTGGTTTATCGCGACAGGCCTAATTGATATTAGCGCAAAAGTAAAAATAGCTCTTTATCTAGCTCAGGCTAGCAGTTAGCTCAGTTATGTATACAGAATTAAATGGTTTCAAACAGGTTCTTCAAAAAAGTATATACATTTTTTTTTATATATATTTTTACAAAACCCCTTTGGAAAATATCTGAACATTCTCTTTAAGCACTTTTAATAATAGCATGCATCTATGTCTAGTTTTAATTCAACACAGGTTACAGGTCATTCATTCATTTTTTGAAGTGGATTACAAAGCCAAAAGCAACAGAAATATCCCAACAACATCATAAATTCTTATTGAATCTTAACGAAGACACTTGTTCCTTGTACAAAGCTCCAAGGAGAAAAAACGAGACCTGTAAACAACAAAACATCCTGCAACAAAACCTAAATCAGCACAAAACAGAGGATCACATTTAGATTTGTGTAATGAAAAACAACAATGAAGTTACGAGGTTGAAGTTCTACACATGTAAAGCCTATAAAAAAATTTAAAAAAGGAAAGAATGGAATAGATGCCTAAAATATACATTTCAGTTTAATTCCCACAAAATCTACATGTTAAAAGTAAAATAGCTTCAACACAAAAGAAAAGAAAAATTTATCAATTCCTCAGTCATTTCCTGTCGCTTTCACCATTTCCCTGGCATATTTTATATCATGTTTTTAACTCCTTTCTCTGTGTCATTTCTCATATCCTGCTGCCTGGAGAGTTAATTCACCACAGTGGTGAAAGCATTCACCAAGAAACAGGATATTACCCCCCAGAGACAATAAACAATAAATTGTAGCTGGAAAGGACACCAAAAGATCTTGTGTTAACTCAATCTTAAAATAAAAAAACATTTCACAAAACTTAAGCAATGATTATGAAACTGAATGTGTTTAAATATGTCTGACTGTGAAGGCACACATTGTTTTTTTCAACTACAAGAACTGCAGAATAAAACCTGATCAGGGAAAGAAATTATAACTAAAGATTAATTATGTGTTCAAATTAGGTTGCAAGTTGCTATTAATCAGGAAATGAGTTTCAAACGTATCCATGTTAGCAAAACTGACATGGTATTCAATAGGAATACACAATATTATCGGCATGTATCGGTATCGGACAATATTAGCGATAAAGTTAAATATCGGACATCGGCCATTCCATCAAAATAACTCACTAATATAAAATGTGTTGTTTCAGCACAACGTTATGACGCAACGTGTGCCATTGAGTTTAGATTTGTGAAAATTTACAAATTTGTACTGTTCGAGTGTTGTCATTGAGTTAGAGAGTAAATGTCATCAATAAATTTGACATTAAACATAATCCAAGTTGAAGTGTTGCATAATTTTCAGCTCCTTTTTGGCACCTGAATTTGGTCGCAGGACAAACTGACAAAGACCATGCAGAATAATGTAGTATTTTAATTCCACAGCAGAGAAAGCTATGTAGACTCTGTAAGTAGGTCTAGGGGGAAAAATATTGGTATTGGTATCGGCCAAATAAATTTTAACATATCAGCATATCGGATATCGGACAAAAATCTAATATTGTGCATCCATAGCATTCAAGGTTTAATATGATGCAAAAATACTAAAAACCAATATATATATATATGTATATATTTTTAATGGTAAATGTTTAAAATTTGGAGTTTAGAAAAACAGATTCAATAAATAAATATTTCCATGGACAGTTATTTAGGTCCTGGTTGGAAATAAAAAGACAAGTCAAATCTGTAAACTGTAACTTGGAGCTAAAAAATTGAGACTAGAACTATTCACAAATCATGGAAAAGTGGGCAACCATTAGACCTTTCTTTTGCTTCACATATAAAACATAATTTTAGCACATTCTGGCTGGAGTTTGATACACCACCTGCTTGTACCCAATCACCAGGCACAGGTTAACCACCACGTATGGTCCTTTGGTTGCCCTCCAAACCCCATCCTCCAGGAATGGCCATCTTTCATGACCCTCAGGTGATTGTGTAACTCCGTCCTGCTGCTCTATCCATCATTTTAACGCCACTCTGCTCCATCGGAGGACAAAACGGGGTCATAAACTGTGCCCTACACATTGCTTTACCCTGCCCTCTTAGCATGGAGAGAGGGGTCAGCTTAGGAGCAGGTAGTGGAAGGAATTTGAGGGCCAAATCCAGTCTGAAGGATGGCCAGGGCAGAGCCACCGGATTGGAGAATATGCTGGCACAGCAGCAGTGCTACATGCAAACTCAACAAACATGGCTGTGGGTGACAGATGTCACAAGCCTGCAGGAGGTGCATGCCAATGAAGATTGCATGGTGCCCATAGGATCACCTAAATTATACAAAAGACCTTCAACCAGCAGCACCTGAAGGACAAAACAAGGACTGCTTTCATTGCTTTCTACATGTTTGAACGTAACGGTTTAAGTTTTCAATACAGTTATCAGCTTTTTGCTCTTGTCTTACGTGAAGACAGCATCGAAACCATATTGACAGTGCATTATTTAGACCTTCAAGGAAGACATAAATTATTTGGAAAAAGTATACACACACTTCGACATCAAGAAGCACAAATATATTAGTACTAGTATAAGTACACTAGTAGTGTATTAGTTGTACTCTGCAACTTCATTATCAGATTTTTCCTTTTATATTCAAGACAAAATCCTACTTGCATGCACATGTCTAAGTAGTAAGTGAAATGCAAATGCAACAAATGTCAAATTTAAAAAATAATAAAACATAAGGGCAAGGTTTGTAAGTATTACAGTGTAACCTCATTGTGATGGGTGATTGTGTCAAAAATGACAATCATCTAAAACGAGATAAAGAAATAAGGGTTTTGTTGTTTTTTGAAGGAAAGATGGTAAATCGGGAAT